CAGAAGAAAAGCTTATTGTTATTATCAAACGATTTGGGCTATCAATCTTAACCTCACTATCTCACTGCATTTCAAACATCTTAGGCATAATAAGGATTGCTTACTGTTTTTGTATAAGCTAACAAGAAACTCAGAGTAACTTTAGAGCTCATTTATAGTTAGTTTTATCCCAAGTTCTTTGTTTCCCAAACATTACTTTAAAAATTTAAAACTGTATATTGTTCTACCTATGTATGTTTAACTATTGTATTGGGTCCCAAACACTTTTTAGAAGTAGCTGCAAGGAACATATTAGAAATGTAAATGTAATATTTTTAACAAAAAAATCAAATTTCTCCTTTGGTTAGCTTAAACATTTATTCATTCAATATACATTAAGCATCTGTGTGCAAGGCACTTGTTAAGTATAAGACAAAAAAGGAGCAAGACATATTTGTAAGATGTTTAAAATGCAAAATAATAAAAATCAGTATGGAGATTCCTTAGAAAACTAGGATTGGAAATCCCATTTGATCCAGCTATTCCCCTCTTGGATATTTTTCCAAAAGAACTGAAAACATAATACTACAGCAATATATGTCCACCCATGTTTATAGCAGTGCAATTTGTCATAGCTAAATCCTGGAAACAATCCAAATGCCATCAACTGAGGAATGGATAAAGAAGATATGATATTTTCACATAATGGAGTATTCTTCAGCTATAAAACAGGATAAATTGAATCTTTTGTCAGTAGATGGATGCAACTAGAGACCATTCTCTTAAAGTGAAGTAAAGCAGACCTTCATGTGCAAACATCCTATTGTTTCCTTAGTGTGAGAACCTGAAGGAGAAAATGGAATCTGAAGGATACAATAGATACTGGGAAAAGGGAATGAACTTACTTAAAGGAAAGAGTTACTGAGTTGCAGAGGACAGAGAGAGTGGGGGAAAGAGATATGAATGTATTTTTTCTTTTCTTTTTTCCTATTTTTTGTACTGGGGATTGAACTCAAGACCTTGTGCTTGCCAGGCATGCACTCATGCTGGTATGCTATCTCCCTGGCCCCTGAGATATCTATGTATGTAAGCAAGATGGTTTGGACAACTGCACTGTGGATTACTGTTGGCTATGGAAAGAAGCAGTTAATGCTTAATTTGTTTTGTCTCCTTTTTTCAATTGTTGGTACTTTTTATCTTCTTAATTTCTTATATATTTCTTCTTCCAATTTTGCATGCATGTATCTGGTAATATGAACAACTGGCTGGAAGACAACACTGTATTACAACAATTATTGTGGAATTGATATTATTTTGTTAAGTGAAATTCTGTATCACTTGCAATTTTTCTGTTTTAATACTATTTTGTACTGTTTTTTAAAAATACAAAAATTGAAAAAAAAAAAGCAAAATAGTGTCATATAAGGTGAAATACTATAAAAGTACATAGAACTCTTTCATTTTTAAAAAAGCATGGGCATTTTTGAATTCATTTAAGGGAGGGTAAACTTCATTACTGGGCACCAAAAAATGCTATTTTGTGTATCAACTATTAAATTCCTTGGCCTGAAATATAGCTCAACAGCATGGCACTGTGCCTGCCTGGCAAGCATGAGGTCCTGAGTTTGATTCCTGGTATTAAAAGTAAGAAACAAAATAAAAATTAAATTTTGGGCTAGAGAAATAGCTCAGTGGCATAAGTACATGCTTGGCAAATGCAAGGTCCTAAGTTCAATCCCTGGAACTAAATAAATAAATAAATTCCTTGATTAAACAGATATGAACTTCAAAAATAACATATGCATACTTTACAAATAGCTGTATAATTATATACATAAAAGAGCATCTAATAAATGTTTGGTCTATATTAAATATTTTCTCGACTTTTTAAATGATTTGTTTTATAACTAAATTTTATGCTTTCAATCGATAATTTCATTGAAAGTCAACATTAAGCCACACAAAATCCTTCTTACTATCTTAGGAAATTGTGGCTTTAGAATTTTTTTTCTGAAATAAAAAGCCTTATTTCTCTTCTTCTGGGGATCTCAAAACTATTTAAATGGTAATACAAGGTAATACAAGTGGATAAAAAAACCTACTGTCGAAAAGTGTGGTGGCACACATTTGTAATTTCAACACTCTGGAGGCTGAGGCAGGATTGCTGATGAGTTCAAGGCCAGCCTGGGCTACAAAGTAAGTTCAAGTCCAGCCTGAACTGCATAGCAAAATCCTGTCTCAAAAACACAAAAACAAACAAACCCATGAACTGTCTTTTTTGTTATTTTATGATTAATATCGATATTTCTAGAAGAATATGCTATAATTACTAAGCTACATAAATATCAGGATAACTTAACTTACTGAATTACATCAAAATTTTTTTTTCTTGGCAGTGAACTGGGATTGGCAGGGAGTAGTTATGTGTTGCTACTGAGGAGAGTGATAAAAAAGCATGGACATAGATAGAAAGAAGAGCATTTTAGAATCTGACTCCTAACAGTAAATGCTGATAGCCCCAGGCTATGAGCCAAAGGCGATGGTATGGTTTCCTCAAATTTTTTTTTTTTTTTTTTTTGTGGAACCAGGGATTGAACTCAGGCCCTTGCGCTTGCCAAAATTATCTTTTAAGAAATGTTTGAAATTTAGACAACAGATGAGTCCCAATAGTGCTGCCTATTCTCCCATTATGCTAAATGTATACCTTTCAGAAATTTATCTAGGTTTAATGTAAATATGAATTAAAGCCTCTACTCACTGAACTTTCAACTGCATCAGAAGCATTATCTTCCACAAAATACATTCCACATTTACCTGCAGAAAACAATTGAACATAAAAGTTTAAAATGCACTATTATCTTATACAGTTGAAAATAGGCCCTCTAGAGTTCTTTGGTTTGAATTTGAATCCCAGCACTCAGAAATAGTTCCTAGCACTCAATCTGTATTTTAAATGGCACTTCTAAGGCTCTGGAAAAGTTGCTTAAACTCTCTGTATTTTAGTTTGCTTATTTTAAAACGGATGCTATATTTCACAGAATTATTCTACACATTAGAATATATACAAAAAAAAGAATATATACAACATTCTTATCAATAGAACCTGGAACTTAGTGCTAAATAAACACTGACTGTTCTTTATTACAACTATCCTTACATGCATATTGATTGACTTTATTCTGTCACGGACTAACCGAAGTCAAGTAAATAACCAAATTATCTAACAAAAGAGGATTAATACTAATCCTTAAATATTTTGCTGACTGAGATATTCAACAGAGCAAATTACCCTCCAAGTTTTTCCTGCATCCTAGGCTGCCTGCCAACACATGACCTTTTATCAAGTTTAAAGACATCAAGAACCTCCCTGGGGCTATTCCACCTGCATACTGGCCACCTGTGAGTGTGGGGGACCATGAAGTATTGGCATGGCTAGGTCAGAGAAGGAAATGATCTCCATCCTTGTTCAGGCCCAGCAAGCTCAAGGCTCTATATCTTGGAACTTTGGAGGCTATAGTTTTAGCTTAGAGCAGAAATTCTTAAATATGAGGGTACATCATAAGGACCCATAAAAACCCAGAGTCCATCTCCATTAACCTTAACACACCCCTAACCTTCCTTGGATGGGTGCGGGTACTGTTAATGCAGGACCATAGTTGAGGATGGCTGCCCCATAGCACACAAACTAGTTCTTCAGGAAACAGAGGCCAAGGGTTGTAGCCATTACTTCAAATCTTGAGGAAAATATTTCTACCAAATGGGACTATTCAGGTATCCATGGATTGACAATCTTAGTCTACCAGAGACACAATATAGAATACAAATTATAAAAAATATCAAGTATATATTTATGCCCAAGTATATCTTTTAAAACTATAGGAATATAAATATACCAATAAATTTTACTTTAAAGTATAAATTGATACATAATGAGAGGAATGATTAAGTATAAAATGTATATTTCAAGAAGAAAACTTTATAAAATGTAAAACTTTAATCATATGCTTTTCAAAATAAGATGTCATTTCCTGACATTCATGAATCATATGTATTACAGCAGTCTTCTTTTATCTGCAGGCTTGTTTTCTATGGTTGCAGTTACTGGTGGTCAATCATTGTCTGAATATATTAATCATGGAAAATTCCAGAAGTAAACATTGATAAGTTTTAAATTACACACCATCTTGAGTGTATGAAGATATCTTGCCCTGTTCTCCTTCATCTTGCCTAAGACAGAAATCTCTGTGTCCAATGTATTCACTGTGTATATGCTATCTGTCCATTAGTCACTTCACAATGGCCTATTATCAGATCAACTATTGCAATATTAAAGTGCTTGTGTTCAAGTGACTCTTATTGTACTTACTAGTGGCCTAAAGCACAAAAGCAGTGATCCTGGCACTTCAGATGTGCTAACAGAAGCTAAAAAATTTTAAGTTAAAAGGTAAAATTACAATAAAACATGTTGAGAAATATAACATTCATTTTACTTTTATTATAATTACTTTATTGCTAGTTATTGTGAAGCTCACACTGTACTAATTTACAAATTAAGCTTTTTCACAGGTACATATACATAGGAAAACACATAGAACACATAGGGTTTGGTACTGTTCACCTTAGGCCTTGGAACATATCCCCTGAAGATAAACAGAATAACTATCTATGAGAGACTAAGGAAAAAAGCCCATAAGACAGGGTGAATACGTACCAGATTCTTGGAAAGTGACTTACCTAATAACAACTCACCAGCTGTCTCTCTAGATGGTGCAACGCTGATGCATCTTCGATTTACTCTGTCAAAATACATTTTAAATTGCCATAATTAAATTTTTTGCCCAGGTTTAGAGATGATATGCTTCATTATAGCTAGTAAAAGATTTCAGCATAGCAAACTAGCCTTTCAATAGCATGCAATGTCTCTTTAAATCCAAGACAGTAGTATGCCATTATTTTGTTCTAGTAGAGGAAGAAAAAACTCTGAAATTTTAGAAAAGGCTCAGAATCCATATAAATGAATTGCATCATATAGGAAATTGGTTATGCAAAAGGTATTTCAATGTTTCATCCATTCAGTAAAGAAGCAGGTATTGTTTTATGCCACTGATATTTCAAACACACAAAGGAAGCATATTATTCTAGGAAAAATGGGGATTTGGGAGTCAGAAAAGTTCCCTGTTCTTTAGTCAGTCACTTATTTAAGTATTTTTAATTTGGCATAATATGAAGTCTGATCAAAATACACGGTAAATGTTTAAAAGAGCACAGAAAAAGAAAGAAAGAAATATAGCTATTAATTCCCCCTCAAAATATTCTCTCTTGTTTTGAGCACATGTATCCTGTTGTTCTTTGCACTTTCTGAAGCAGTTTTGGAAGTCCTCTTTTGAGTTCTTTATAAGGTATGACCAAAAGTATTGTGATTTGTTCTGCCAAGTGCCATCCAAGAAAAAGGCAGCCTCACAAAAACATGACAGTGTGTCCCCATTCATCTTATTCACCAGATCTGGCACCTTATGAATTGTGGCTCTTCTCCAAAGTCAAAATGATCACAAAAGATAGATATGGATTAAAAGATAAAAATTGACTTGGTAGGAGGCAGCCATGAAAAAGTAAACACACTCATTAAAGAAAACTTCCAGAACTGTTTCAGAAATGGCAAGAACAATGGAATAAGTATGTTCAAAGTAGGGTGCAATATTTTGAGGTGGATTAATGGGAACATATCTTTTACTGTAACATTTTAAAAAATTTAATCATTCATCATTATTTTTGACAATATCAGGTAATAACCACAGCAAATCAATGATGATATTGTCAACAGTTAATGTTTGACACATTTAAAATTCAACAAAGCTATGAAAACTTGGGTATGATTTTCCCTCACTTAACAGATAAGGAAGTGCAGGTAGAGGCTAAGTAACTTACACAGACTGCTAAGTAAGGTAGGAACTGGAATGTGAACCTTAATTCACCACACTGTAGTGCCTGTTGATACCATCATCAGCTTTTTAAAAATGAACTATAAAAGAATGTATACTAACAAGCTCAGAGTATGATGAATAAAGTCCAATACACTGCTAACAGAAATGTCATTTGGATTTTGGACATTCAATCTTGTCCTGTCTTGGATCTGCTTTGTTTAGTACTTTTTCTAAAGCCACAGCATTATCTAAAGTAAATATTACATAACTCCACATGGAACTATTGTACATTCACAAAAGAGTGAAGATCTTTGGATTCAAATTTACCTTATAGATTCACTTGCAGCTTTGTCTTTGACAGTAGAGGAGAAAGAAGAATGAGTTTTGTCTTCAAATAGGTAAGCAAGTGGTGGTTTAATCACATCTACAGATGAAAAAGTACATACTATTTTTATCTAGTGGCCACAGTTATTTGCCATATTCATATACTTTGGCAGGAGCTAGGCTTACCTTCTGATTTTTGTCTATCCCTAAGAAGGTACTTATTTGGAATAGTTAAGTAACATCTCTGTAGACGTCTCCTCTCTCGGTTTGGCCCTTCTGTGGGATCCAACTGCCAAGAGGTTGGGTAGTAAATGGGGTCATACCAAACTGCTCTGCAGTGCAAATAAAAGGACATTTTAAGACCCATTCAAGGACTTAGAATAAGTAAATAAATCACACCTGATCTATTTAGTTTAAAAACACCAAGTATTTATCTATTTAGACCAGGGAATATATAGATAGAAGAACAGAATAACATCTTTCAGAAGTATGTTTTTGCTCCTGAATTTCAGATTCTGAGTTGTCTTCTGGAGCAAGCTACTTCTAGTTTTTGTATCCACTGAATTTAAAAAAAAAAAGTATCACTCCTACAATAAAAAGTTCAGCAATATAACAGCTCTTTTTGTGGTATATTATCATATTTTTTAAAATCTTTAAAATTATTTTAGATGAAAGCAAAAAATAAAACCCTATTAAATACACTTTTGAAATAGATGACAATTTCTCAATTCTACTGCCTGGAGCATTATTTTCTTCCATCTTTAAGATGCACCTATTTTTAATCTGTAGTTATAATAAATACATATACAAATTTCTGGCTCCTGCCTTTTTTCACTGGGCACAGTATACTTTTTATCATCATCATAATATAACTAACATGATGTTGAATCAACATATCATAATGTATTTTACATGTTATTATATTCATTTAAGTTCTTTCCAATTTATTCTGTAGTCAGAGATGGAAACTTTTCTGTTATTTTTGTATTCCCTATTTTGATTATTTTTCATAGGACAGAAACACTAAAACACATCCAGAGTTAGAAATATCTGCCAGGTTCCTGACATATAATGTCATTGTTCAATGGCACCAAAGCTCTGACAAAGGACAGTTGACATTTCAGCTATTAGCTTCCTGAGCCCACTTTTTTTTTTTTTAAACATAAAATGCAGGGCTGGGGATATAGCTCAGCAGCATAAGTGCCTGCCTGGCAAGCACCAAGTCCTGAGTTCGATTCCCAGGACTTAAAGAAAAAAGAAAAGAAAAATGATATCTAAAGGTTTTAAAAGGTCAAACCTGCAGAAATACTGGATACTCTCTTTTTTCTCCTTTTTGTTTACTGCTTTTACTTGTTTTATGTGAGGAGTCTTTTTTATGCAAAAGTTCATGTCTTTTGCATTTTCAAACTCAAAGGACTATAATCTTTCACTTTCAAATCTATAAGTTTTATGAGCAATAAACATACTGACTCTTTGATATATTTTCTAAAAAATAAATTTTCTTGTTTTTTTTGTCATTAAATACACCAGCAAATAAAATTCAAAAGCAAGGATTTCTTTTTGCACTTATTCTACTTAGCTATCTCCCCCGCTCTTTTCAATTTCTTTGTTGTGCTTTGAAAGTTATACAGTATTCAAAGAATTGATACTGTCTCCCACTTTTATAAACTTTTTAAGTTTAATTATTCTAGCCATAATTTCCTTAGTATGAAATGGTTAGTATATGCTAACAGCCCAAAGTCATACTGAGTTCTCTTAACCAAACTTAAGACAATAATACTTTAATTCACCTCTTTTCATTATTCAC